CCTATTAGATACGGCTCATTCCTTGTGGTGGAGTTGGAAAGAAGCTCTTTGAGGTGAAAAGTGAATGAAACGGGGCCAGGATGGATTTACACTGCCCGTTGGGTGATGGTCATCTTTCTGCTGCTCTCCTGCAGCAGGAGTTGGAGCAAATGGCTCACAGCTCCACAACTGGTGTGTGCCCATGGCATTAATTATCCCTGTTGATTATGGTCTCCAGAGTTAATTGATCTGACCTCAGCAGTTGTATTTACTGTAGCAATGTGTACTACCAAGGGCTGCTTAATGCTGCGCTCACAAGACTAAGATATTTAACACTGATAAATGTCAATAATTATGGAAACTCCTGTTTCTGGGAATATAAGGTGTCACATTTTATAACTCTCTCTTTGCTTCCCATTCCCTCTGGCTGACTCATGGTGGGGCTGAATCCTTCCCCTGCCTGGTGAATCACCTGCCAGGTGTGTGCCGCCTGGACCTGCAGAACCGCGCCGGCTACACGGCGGTGATGCTCACCCCGCTGGCCGCTGCTGAGACAGGCGAGGACATGGAGGTGGTGATGAAGCTGCTGAAGGAAGGGGATGTCAACCTGCGAGCTGCACAGGTGTGTCCTCATCGTTCTGCTCTTTCTTTGAAAAGAGAGCATGGCCCCGTGTGGGGTTGTGCAGCGGCGCTGGGTGGAGGGCATCCAGCCTGCCATGGGTATTTGTTTGGCAAAGGCATCTGCAAAGTGACTCCTGTTGAGCTCAGAGACTCTCATTTATGGCCAGTTCAGGCTGTGGCATCATAGAATCACAGACTGGTTTGGGTTGGAAGGGACCTTTCAAGGTCCTCTAGTCCCCCTGCAGTGAGTGGGAACATCTTCCACTAGATCAGGTTGCTCAGAGCTGTATCCAACGTGAGCTTGAATGTTTCCAGGGATGGGGCTTCTACCACCTCTCTGGACAACCTGTGCCAGTGTTTCACCACCCCCAGTGTAAATAATTTCTTCCTTACATCTAGTCTCCCCTCTCTTAGTTTAAAACCATTACCCCTTGTCCTATCACTTACAAAAGCAGCCTCAGCTAAATTGCAGCGTGGCCATCCACCAGCCCTTCTGAAGGGGTGTGTGAACTTGATAGAATGAAGAAACAAAAGGAAGGCTGAAGATGTCACAAAATAATTTGTGTGAGCTAAAATGCTGAAGTCAGAAGTGATAAAGAGGGAGGAGCGGTGTGGGGTGGACCCTGGGGTATGGGAGTTGGGTCAGGTTTGCTGGTGAGCAGTGGCTCTGATGAGTCACATATTTTGGTCTGAGATGACAGTGCCCTCATCCAGCTCTTCTTCCAAACACCTGTAAAAGTTAGTCTAGACCTAAATTAAACTGCCCAGGAGGGTTAGGAGGACCCATATTTGGGAGGAGCTGGGAGCTGGGTGGTTTGGCCATGGTCCTTTGCATGGCCATGGTGCAAGTGAGCAGATATCTCTGGCAATACCTACTGAAGATCCTCAGTGTTATTTAATTATGCAATAATATGCCATAATAATATGAATTATTAGGATATATGTACTATGCCATAATAATATGCAATCTGATTTCATCTAATATGCAATGAGAACCTTCATTATTATGATGATATATGAGTCTGAAGGAGCAGGACCGTAGGGGCCGGTGGGTAAGGGGTGCTCATCCTTTCCCTCTGTGGTTGCAGGGAGGCCAGACTGCCCTGATGCTGGGGGTCAGCCATGAACGGGACGACATGGTGCGAGCCCTCCTCTCCTGCCAGGCTGATGTCAACCTGCAAGACGAGGAGGGGACGACAGCCCTGATGGTGGCCTCTCGGTTGGGCAACGTTGACATTGTCAAGCTGCTCTTGGCCCAGCCCGGCTGCCAGGTCGCGCTGACGGACAAGGTGAGGCTCCAGCATCACATTCGCTCCCGTACACAACCTCACGTGTGGCAGGGAGGGAAAGCTCACGCAGGATCACGCTTTACAGGCAGCAATCCCTGAGTGGTGGGTTGGAAGTGAAGAAGTACAATTTTGGTCCACTTTCTAATCAGGGGACCATTTTTAGGAGAGCATCTCTAGTTTTGATGCTGGCTGTGCAGCGGGTGGGGTGGCTGCAGCAGCATCCTGCATCCCAGCCGTAGCCTGGGCAGGAGCACCAGGAGGAAGAGCCCAACCCAGTGTAAACCTATAAAAATAAAAAGATGACATTCTGGACATGTGGAGTCAGCGGAGCTCTGGCTCCAAGCGATTAGCAGCAATTAACTCTCTCCTGAGAGCGGATGCCTCTCCGGGGGGATGTGTGGGACGGGGCTGAGGTGGGAGCTGCGTGGCTGGCTGGTTGCAATCTCCTCCCGTGTGAGCTCATGGAGATGGGCCACGTGTCTGCGTTTGTAGTTATGCAACTATTTGCTAATTAAACTATGATTTTGTCCAAGACATGTGGGACAACACTGGGACCAGGAGAAGGCACGGCTGGGATGCATTTTGTGCAGTTGAGGTTCAACCCCAAAACACTAAGGGGGGGTTTGCAGGATGGTGACTCATTTTAAGGGAAGGAGGAACTGCAGCGAAGGAGGTTTTGGGGGGAGATAGCTGGGTGTGAAGCTGCTCTGGCCAACTGGAGGGCTGAGAACTTGTCAGCAGGCAGGTTGCAAACAAGCAGGCTCTCTTAGCAGCGACGGGGTCAAGAGGTTGAGGATGGAGCTGGGTGGATGATGGGGTGGCTGGGGTGAGATGCGGTGATTCGGGTGGTGACATCTTCACCTCCTCCCTCCCCGCAGGGTGGTAACTCAGCCCTGTCGCTGGCCCAGCACGAGGACATCGCCGCGCTCCTGCGAGCCCATGCCGAGCACAACCCGTCCCTCTCTGCCTGACCGAGCCAGGAGAAGAAACCGGGATGGGGAGCAGGGAACAAACAGCTCCTTCTTTTAACGGCCCCGCTGCCGGCTCAGCGGCCAGGGCCAGTGTCGTGGTTTCCATAGGTACAGGGGGATGAACCCTGCCAGGTACCTGTGTACGTTCCCGTGTCTAACTCTCCTCATTACACCCGCTTACACCCCTCTCATCTGTGCACATCACCACAAGTGACTCTGAGCTCTCCTACACGCTCCTCCCCGTAGAGAGTTGGCAGGTGAGCGAGCGAAACGCAGGAGAAAAGCACATTAGAGAAACAACACTTAGTCTTTTGTAACCTTAGATGATGGTTGTCCTCTTAATCGACTACTTAACTGTATCTCATTTAACTTGTAAGTTTGTGTCCTAATATTTATTATTAGCTCTTCTGTAGGTAGTGGCAGGCAGCGATTACTCGGTATATGTAACAACAAACACAAGCTGGGTGGATTATGTAAAGTAGAAAATCCTATTTATGTTTGCTTATGTGGGTCTGATGTAAGAATTAAAAACTAATGCTTTAGGAAAATATTTGAGTAGACCAGACCCAAACACACAGACATTGTTTTGCCTCTACTCGGAATTACCATATGGCTTGGTTTTTTCCTAATTAAGTTTGAGCTAACGAGGAAGCGCAGCCCGTTGACATGCACCGTGCATCAGCACGCACGATGCTCGGGGTGGATCAGGTTATCCTGAGCACGGCGTGAGAAGATCACAACAGATTCCCATCCCAGGCTGTGTTAACATTAGCCAAGAGTTTCATGGAGCAAGTTTCCTGACAGATGCCTTTTGGGCAAGTACCTGCTCCCCACTTTCCCTCTTACTCAACTTTCAGATGCCCAAACTCCTCTGGTGTGAAGCCATGCTGTGGCTGAGCTGTCAGAGTCACCCAGTGCCAGGGCCTCCTCCTCCACGGGGGCACCCATGGGGTTAGTCCAGCATCACCTCAAATCATACACAGGGCAGGGTTTGGTTTTTTTTTCTAAAATCTCTCTGCCACTGATAGAGAGGCTGTGCTACCTCAGGACCCAGTGGATGCTCTCCCTAGGCTTTGGTGGACCTGGGCGCTATCACCAGTTGAGTTGGTGCTTAGTATCCCACCATAATAACAGATTTACTTGCCATCACTAAAACCAAATCTCCCTCGTTAGCTAATTGCTTTTCTTTCTTTCTTTTTTTTTTTTTTTTTTTTTTTTCTTAAAAAAAA